AGACCTAAATTTGACAGTTAATGTACTACCAGACGATCGAAGAAAAGATGGATGATGCAAGCAGAATTTTCCCAAAGATTTTGAATTTAAAGTTGSTCCATCCAAAATCTACAAGTATAAATTAGTTTAACCCTTAAATGCCTATGCGGAGTCTTTCGAGGACCCCGTCTCAACAAACTTTTGCATATCTTTTTTATTTGGATTTGTTAACAAGGCAGTGTTCTGGTATTTGTTACTTAATGTCTTTTGCAGGACAATATTATTTGACCCGGCAAAAGAAGTAGAAACCATTTGGCAGACGGTTATGCAAGACATAAAATTCCCTGACAAATGATTTCCACAACCTTTAAAAAAACTCCCTAAATTTCCCAATCTGGCGTCACTACAGATCTTCCGCCTCGCAACTTAATGAACTACTATTAATTAAATTATTATTTATGTTATTATGAATTTCGTTAATATTGAGACATTTCCTAACAATATTACAAGTTTTTAAAAGGACTGCTTTTTGAATATCAATAATTAAATTTGAATTTAATTTTAAAAGTTCAAGATTAACTTTTAAATTGTTTGGTGCTACTCCAATTGCGGAAATGATTATCGGTACTATTTTGACCATTTTCATGTTCCARATGTTTTTAATTTCATTAATTAGGATCATGTATTTAGAAATTTTTGTTTGATAAGTCTTCTGGATATTGTGAGTATTTAGAACTGCAATATCAATTAAAAATGCATGTTTTTCAGTTTTAGAAATAAGAATAATATCTGGCCTATTAGCTGTTATATTCAAACTAGTTAAAACTGTTCTGTCCCAATAGAGTTTGTAATTATTATTTTCTAGAAACGAATCTGGTTCATATTTATAATAAGGTGATTTATTTTGAATTAGGCCAGAATTAAAAGSTAACTGAGAATGAATTATCTTGGCRACATTGTCATGCCTAACTTTAMAATCTGYTGCAGTCAACACTTGACAGGAAGAGATGAGATGTTGAATTGTTTCTGATTGTGTTCCACACAGTCTACAAAGATCATCATTWTTACTTTTGATTATGTATTTTGTATAATTTTTCGTATTGATCACTTCGTCTTGGATTGCAAAAATGAAACCTTCAGTTTCTGCAAAAATGTTTGTTTTTGTTAACCACAAGTGAGAAGCTTTTGTATCAATGTACATAGCTGTTGTCTAATTCTTTGAAAAATCTACCATGTAAAGATTTTTCTTTTAAATTTTCTGTAGTTACACTTTCGGTTATAATTGTTTCATTTATGTTTGAATCACTTAAATTTAATGGTGTAAAATTCTCATCACTCAAACAAATAGCCCTGATCAAAATATTATTATTACTCTGATCTAAGAAATATTTCCTAAGTGAGGAAATTTGTCTACAATATAAATTAAGTAAATTCAAAAAACCACGCCCTCCACGTTCTCTTGATAAAGAAGCTTCTGTATTGTTTAAGTCTAGTGAAAACCTTAGGGTTGTTTGTAAGTTTATATATTTCTTATTCATATGTATGCATTGATTCATATATGTATGGATTTTCGGCAGTCTTAACAAAAGGTCACTATAACTTAAAAATTATTAAATTTTGGTATAGGGAATGTTAATACAGATCGATGCAGAACTAAATTCTCTTCCATTTAGTAAAATAAAAATTGGGATATTTCATTTGGAAAAATTGAGTTATGGGTATTTGAATTATTACAAAAGTAATCTTAAAATTTTAGGGTTTGTTAAGTTTTTTTTTTCAAAATTTCAAAAAATTTCAACCTTTCCCTTTCAAATGCCAAAAAACGAATTGAAAATTTTAAAAAATAGCCGAGTTACCGATTTTTAAAATGGAAGGTGCAGATCCAAAAATTTTTGTATAACTCCAAATATTTCAAAAAGGGCTAAATTTAAGTATAGGGAAAGCTAATGAAAACTCCCTTAAAATGACCCGATTAATCCAAAAACGCAGTAAAAAATATAGCTTTCCATTTAAAATAAGAAAGTTGAGACCGATTTCCGGTATAACCGGAAGTGCCGCCATCTTGAAAATAGTTTCATTTATGAGAACTTAATGGATTATGGCTATGTACCGATTTTTAAATAAATACGATTTTTTGAATTCCCTATACTTCTAATGTGGGGTTTAGGCGGAACACTCTGTATACTTAAAAAAATAAAAATTTAAATGGGGTTCCTAGAAGACCCCGCATGGGCATTTATGTTTGTTTCAAAGACATGGGCATCAGGGTTAGAAAAAACATAAAACACAGAAACGATACCTCAACATAGTCTAGTGTACATTCGGTATATTCTTCAAGATCCAGATCTGAGAAAACCAACTGGATGAGTGAGCCTGCACTTATCGAAATTTTCCAGATACATTCTGTGTTCA